CCTCCTTTCCTTCCTCCGCCATGCTTCTTCTTCTTCTCACCAAGGGTATGGTGGATCGATAGAGGCTTTGGAGGTGTATTTCACGGGAGCTTCGGGAAGTACAGCTGCACTTCAGGAGCCATGCCGTGGGTTGTTGTGCCCCCCCCCCCTCCCCTCCCCTCCCCTCCTGCCATGAGGCGGTGCCTGTGCCAGAAGGCACAGGAAGTTTGATATGTAATCATGAATGACATGACATTGTTTCTGGCCAGCCAGTTTTTTTTCTTTTTTTCCCTCTTGCATCCTGGCACCAGATCATGATACATATTGGGTGCGGTGAATGGGAGGGTCATGCAAGACCGGTGGCAACCGTTGCATTGTTGCCTTTCCACCTTTCTGTGTGTGTATTTTGTTCTGCAATTCGTTTGATTCATTTAGTCTATCGTTTATATAATGTGCATGTGAGCTTAGTTTATTTCTGGCGTCAGTTTCATTCAAGTGAATCTACTACACAATGTGCGTGTGAGCTTAGGTTCTTTCTGACTGGGAACTTCATTCAAGTCTACAGGCCAACCCGGCCTGGACAATGTCTTTACATGATTAGTATGATTACAGTGTCGAAATAAACGTCGTATCAAGCATTCATATTCGAAAAAAGACCAGCAAATGACCAGGTGGCAGAAATGGATGTAAAGATTCAATTACGACTTACGCAGAAAGAAATGGAGTTTCTGATTTTTCACTTAGTTTTTTTTTTCTTGGAGGGGAGGGGGGGGGGGGGGGGGGGGGGGGGGGGGGGGGGGGGGAAAGAGGGGGGGGGGGGGGGAGGGGGGGAGAGAGAGGGAGGAGGGGGGGGAGAAGAGAGAAGGGGAGAGAGAGAGAGAGAGAGAGAGAGAGAGAGAGAGAGAGAGAGAGAGAGAGAGAGAGAGAGAGAGAGAGAGAGAGAAAGAAAGAGAGAGATCATGTCACACGCATAGTGTTAAAGGTCGTCAATTGAAAATCAAAAGGCTCTGACTGGAGTTTTCAAATACTTCTAAATAATCTAAACATTATATGATTTCAATGCGCTCGGCGCCTAGCCGCACTGACTGCCATGTGTTCTAAGATGGCCTCCCTGGCTGTATCACCGCTTTGTTCATTAACTTCGACCTGCATTGCGTTGTCAGGTGCCTGATTGAAAATGCCTAGATTGCGGTGCCTCCTCATGAATTGATGCACGTTGAAGAACGCATCACCATCAATACAGTAATTGTGAAGCACCGCAGTGGCCGTAATTTGTTCTGGCATGGCATCAATATCGCCCGTTTGCCTCTTGTACAAAACTTGCCACATTCCTTCCAGCCGACCAAAGCAGCGCTCCACGCACTTCCGGACCAATTCGTGTGCATCGTTGAAGCGCAAACGGTCCCCTTGCGGTTGGCCAGGGAACGGCCGCAGTAGCCATGGAAGGTTGGTGTATCCAACATCGCCTATGAGATACTGGTTGACCCTCGCTCCATTGTCCAATCGCACTGTTGTGTTTGAGAAGAACCCTTCATGAGTCGCCCGGTCATACAGCGAGGAATTGCGCAACACCCTAACATCGTGCTGACTACCCGCCCATCCCACATTGAAGTCGAGGATGCGTAGGTCCATGCCCGAGACACATTGCGCCACGATGCTGTACTGCCCTGTGCGATCATAGTAGTCCGTTGCCCTTTCGTTGTCCGGCTTCTCGATGAAGAAATGTGTGCACTTGATGGCACCTACACAATGGACAAAACCCTCACTAGCGAACTGGGCAATGGTCCTTGGCATTCTCTCGGCATCTGGGAATGAAATCATCCCCAACATTGTATTCAGAATTGCCTTGGTCACGCGCCTTGTGCATCCGATAGCCGTAGCATGTCCAACACCGAACCTGTCCCCAACCCTGTCATAGGACTCCCCGCTCGCAAACCTGTTGAGGGCACACGCCACAACACGAGCGGGCTCAATCAGAAGTCGCATGTGCGTACACTGTCTTTCCAGGTGCGGGCGAAGACGATTCAACAATCCTTCAAACAGAGGTGAAATCATTTGGCAGTAGGATCTGAACCGCCTGTTGTCCTGCAGGAAGTGCGGATTGTGCATGTCCCTCCATGTCCCCCCAGTTCTCTGCTTCAGCCATACCGATCTAGGCACTCCACTGGCAACTGAACTTGCTTGGATCAGCGCATATGTCAATGCCGTTGTTCGGATATGATGGAAGACGGGGACTATGCTCACTGAAGACAGACCATGACTCACAGTCCGCAGAAGCTCTCTTGCTCTGGCATAAGGGCCCTGGCCTTTGCGTCCTGACAGCAACCCACGATGGAGAACGACCTGAAGGAGCAAGAACAGAAAGCGTCCGAATCTCCTCCTGCGCTGCACGTCCATCCAGGCCATGGCTGCCTCCACTGTAGGGTCTGAAGATGTGCTCGCTTCTCAACAAAGTCCCCGTTGCCACAAGGCTGCGCCTGCTCACCTCAACACTGCAACTCCGAGCCCGCACAGGAGTATAATCTCTCTCTCTCTCTCTCTCTCTCTCTCTCTCTCTCTCTCTCTCTCTCTCTCTCTCTCTCTCTCTCTCTCTCTCTCTCTCTCTCTCTAGAGAGAGAGAGAGAGAGAGAGAGAGAGAGCGGAAAAACATTGGGTGCGGGCTCTTGTCTGCTCACCAGAGGCCCAAACTGAATGACGGAGCCAAGCACCACGAGTGAGCTTCAAAAACTCGCCCGTTCACATGACCGAGCCAGAGGAAATTCGAGACGAATGATCTTATACCTCAAAAAAAAAAAAAAGGTTGAAGGATTTGGGCCTCGCCCTGTGTGACCGCGTGAGGCACCTTTTTGGCAATTGGCAGTAAGTCCCGCTCATGTCCTATTTTATTTGCTCCCACTGTGTGACCAGGCGGGGCAGTACTTCACCAAAAGCGGGATTGCAAATTTCTCTTTTTTTGCTGCTATGCTACCGCTGTGTGAGTAGGCCCTTAGTGTTACTGCGCCCAACGCGTCAACTACTGAAGACTACTGATGCTTCCTCAGAACAATTATATGTGTTTATCGTATATTTCTTCTATTATTCTATCTATATGATATATATATAAATACTATAGAAGTATATAATATAGAAAGTATATATAAACTTATAAAGTAACTATGATTCATTTAAACAAATATATAGAAAATATATAATAGAAAATCTATAAAATAGAAATTATGATTCATTTTTGCTATCTATTTTTTATCAACTAATTATTAAGTTGAGACTCTCCTGTATTATATTAAATATTGTATTATGTATATGGTATATGATATTTGATTATGTATATGAGTATGGCCCGTCTGGGAGTGTTATGCGTTCGAGACGGAACGCTGATGGAGAGCTGTATGACGGGAAACTGTCACGTACGGTTCGGAGGGCAGAGACTCACCTCTGACCCCTCCCCATTTTAGGTTTTGCTTTAACTGAAGCTATTGCTTTATTCGCCTTAATGATGGATTTCTTAATTTTATGGGCGACCGCAACGCTACCAAATGAATTGTTCCTTTGCACTGTTTGTTCTCTTAGGCGCGATAGCGAAGGAGACGCTGCAGTAGTCTGCAGCGAGATGGACACGACTTATTTTATTTATCCAACCGCGTGGTTGGAGACACCCAAATTGACGAACTCAAGATGGGGACCACCGCCTGTCGTGAAAGGGGGTCACTGGGAAGGACCAACCCTTGGTCAACCCCCAACCATGTCTACGAGACACAGTTGAACGGGTTCGTGAACGTGAGGTGCGGGTAGGATTAGGAACTAGTTGTCTAGTTACATTGAATATCTTGAGATTCTCTTTGTCGTAAAAAAAGGTGTAAACGAATCCTCTAACAACTACCTGCCTAGAATGAGGCTGTCCAACTATATATAATCCTGGGCCTAGTGTCCTAGGCCGAGAGGAAACATTCTGGCGAAAGGAAAACTGGTCTGGCACCAAGAGCAGGCATCTGTGGCGCCCAACGTAGGAATCTGGCGAAAATATGAAAAGGTATGGCACCCCAAAACAGGAGTCTGGCAAAAAGTTGCCAAAAGAAGGAACGTGGAGAAAATACGAAATGGTCTGGCGACCAAAAGGAGGAGTCTGGCGAAAGATGACAAATGTAGGAAACTGGCGAAAAGATGGCAAAGCGAAATAGCGGCCTACTGGGTCTTACGGGGCCTAACATGGCCGAAATGACACAGACCCTAAGCCCTACGAAAACCTCTAACCCTACTGCCGGGCCCTGCAGGCCCCGTGTGGAACTGAGCATGCCACATGGACCCTACGAGACAGTCAAAACACGCATCCTTTTCATAGCCGGGGATGCAGAGTCGGCGAATGCCTTTGGTGTCGATGTAGAGAAGACTGTCTTGGAGCGAGTAGTCGGGGACAGGGTCGAGGTCACGAAGCTTGTTGTAGACTGTGGAGAAGTCAGGGCATGAGAGGTAGCCTTGTGCATAACGGTGGTGGAGCGATGGGAGGAGTTTAATGTGGGTCATGGAGGCGTAGACTTTCTCAGGGGGATTGTGGTCGGGGCGTCGGGAGAGGGCATCGGCAACGCGGTTGCTTTTGCCGGGAGTGTGGCAAATGGTAAATGTGATTGGGCAAGAAAGCCTAACCAGCGGGCTTCGCGGGGCGTAATGTCTTTGTTTGTTAAGATGGAAGAGACGATGGTGTTATCCGTGTGGATTGTGAAATTTTGCCCGTCGAGGTACAGGCGCCAGACTTTGAGGGTGTGGATCACGGTGAGGAGCTCCTTCTCGTTGGAGGGGTAATTCATTTCCGCGGGAAGAAGTTTCTTGTTGGCGAAGGTGATGGGGTATTCGTCGGGTGGGGCCTCGGGGTGGGTAGGAGATTCCTTGATGGAAGGAGTTGTGGTGGTGTCACGAGAAAAATGTTGGGACAGAACGGCTCCAATGGCGAAGTTGGAGGTGTCGGTGGTGACGTAGAAATGGCGGGTAGTGTCGGCGATCTTGAGGAGGGGGGCAATGGTGACGAGTTGTTTGATGGCGTTGAAGGTGTTTTGGTGACGGTCGCTCCAAGTGAAGGGTTCGTCCTTGCGGGTGAGTTCGTGGAGGGGGTACGAGATGTTGAAGAAGTTGCGGATAAAGGGGCGGTAGTAGTTGGCAAGGCCAAGAAATGATCGAAGTTGGAGGGTCTTGGGTGCTGGATACTCAACGAGGGGCGGTGACCTTCGAGGGGTCCATGTGTATACCTTCAACGGAGACGATGTGGCCAAGGTATTCAACGCTTGAAGCGGCAAAGGTGCATTTGTTGAGCTTGGCATATAATTTTTGCTCTCTGAGGATAGAGAGTACTTGGCAGAGATGTTGAAGATGGAACTCGAAGGTGGGGCTGTAGACAAGGATATCATCGAGGTAAACGACGACACAGACTTCGAGGAGGTCGCGGAAGATGTGGTTCATGGTGGATTGGAATGTGGCGGGGGCGGTGGTGAGTCCGAAGGGCATCACGAGGAACTTGTAGTGCCCGAAGCGAGAACGGAATGCGGTCTTGTGGGTGTTCTCCTCTCGGATGCGGATCTGGTGGAAGCCACTGCGCAGGTCAATTATGGTAAAATATTTGCCTCCATGGAGGCGATCAAGAACCTTGGAGATCCGAGGTAGGGGGTACTTGTTCTTGATCGTGATCCGATTCAAGGCACGGTAGTCTGTCCACATCCGGAGTTCCGATGTTCCGCCTTTCTTGACGAAAAGGCAGCTTGTGCCGAAGGGGGATGAACTTGGCTTAATGAATCCTTTTTCAAGGAGTTCATTGAGTTGCCGCTTCATTTCTTCGACTTCCGGAACGGAGAGTTGGTACGGAGGGCGGCAAGGTGGAGAGTGATTGGGCTCCAAATCGATGGTGTGGGATACGCCACGATCCGGAGGTAATCCGGCGGGCAAGGACTCGGGGAAGACGTCCTTGAACTCGTCGAGGATGGAGGTGAGGGCGGGGCCGGAGGGGGGGGCTTGGTCGGGTTTGTCCGTTGGGAGCAAGTCCTCCAAACGCTCGCGATCAAGGACAAGGCAATAGTAGGCGGAGTCGGGGTACGTACGAGCCATGTGAAGAAATTGGTGCGCGGTCACGGAGCTTGGGGAGGGGGGATAGGGGAGATAGGGAATGTCGATGGTTGTGTCAAGGGGGTTGGTAAGGCGGATGAAGTTGGGGTGGAACAAGTATGGCATGTAGCGGTCTAGCCACGGTGTTCCCAAAACGATGCCGCACATTAAGTGCATGACATCAAATGAGACCTGACTACGGAGGGTTCCGATAGTCATGGTGGTCTCGGGAACCGTGCGGTCTACTACGATGGCGATGTCTTTGTCCCCTAAACGAATCGTAATTGGGGAGTCGTAACCGGTAGAGGTAAGACCGGCTTTCCGGACACATGTGTCGATGATGAAGTTACCGGTGGCTCCAATATCGAGGAGGGCCCGGAACTTAGTCGTAGACGCACCAAGGGTGGCGGTGATGAATTTGAGGTGAAAGCGTGATGAGTTGTTGGTGGAGATAATAGTGTTGAGGCGGCGTTGTTCATTGCCTAATCGGACAAGCCGATCGAGTCGGGCTTGTTCCTCAACAACATCATAGAAGGTGACAGAGGATGGATTCGGAAGGAGGGTTGTGGAACATGTGGTGGTGAGGGGGGCGTCAGGCGACGAGGGTTGCGACGCTTGGGGGTCGTCCGGTGGGATGTGCGGCATCGAAGAGGGGGGAGGCAGACGTATTGTCGATGCCAAATGGGTCACCGGTGGGGTGGAGATCATCACAGATGGGATGGCCGACAGACTAGTCGTCGATGCCGAGACGGATTCGTGGTGATCATGGAGACGGTGTTCAAGTGGAGAAGGGGTCGGGAATGGCGGATGCGGAAGCGGCGGGTTGGGGAGCCGCGGACCTGGGTGCCTGACACGTGAACTATCTGGGATTTGGACAGCTTGTCTGCCAATGTCCTAATTGTCGGCACCGGAAACATCCACCCTTATCTTGGAGGTAGGTTTGCTCCTCCGACGTGAGTTTCGTGAGACGGGTTGGAGGGGTGTTTATGGGAGGACGGCTGGTGAGTTCTCTCCTTTCCATCCGCATGAGGTGGATGGTAGAGAGTTTGTCGGGGGAGAGCGATGTGGTGTCTAGTGGATCAAAGAGGGTGTCGGGGTCGGGGGTGGAGAACTCGTCCGAGGAGGTGGTGGAGGAGGTGTCCTCGGAGGCGATGTTGTGGAAGAAGCGAGGGCGGGGAGGGGCTGATGTAAGTGCAGTCTTGTAGGGGGAGAAGACGCGGTTGATTTGGAGGGCACGAGTGAGGAGGTCGGCGCGGGTCATGGGTGGCTCGCGGACGAGGACGGCCGCTAGGTCTTTGCGGCATACCCGCTTAACGCGGGAGATGAATGTGAAGTCTCTGACGATATCGATGGGGATATGTTGACGAAGCGAGCGGACGTATTGCACAAAACGGTCGGTGCGGCCGTTTTGTTGGAGCCGGCAGAATTGGTCGATGTAGTCATCGACCGCTGTCTGTGGACGGAAGGTGGAGGTGATGAGGGTGGACCACTCAAGGAAGGTGTGAGGTCGGAGATTGGCATGATGGTGGTTGGTCATTTCGGTGTACCACCAGCGAGCGGCGTTGTCTCGAAGTCTGCTGCCGGTGATGGGGAGCCAGTGGACGACAGGGATGTTGTGGAGGGAGAAGGTGTGTTGAAGTTTGGTGAGAAAGAGGAAGCCATCCTCATGGGGTTGACCTGAGAAGGTGGGAATCTCGTTGGCGCGGAAAGATCGAGGGATTTTGCCTTCTCTGGGGGTAGTGGTGGCAAGGGCGTTGAAATCAAGGGTGGGAGAGGAAGAGTCGACCAGGCTGAAATCGTTGGCGGGGTTGGTGGCGATGAGAGCGTGAGGGGGGAGTAGTGGAAGGGCGGGATACACAACTTGTGTAATAATCTGAGCATAGTTGGGGAGGGTGGAGGTGATAACGAACGAAGTCAAGATGGGTTGTGACTGGGGGGAATGGTCGACGACTGTGTGACGGCGGGGTTTGTCGCCTGGGTGACTATGGTGGGGGTAGTGGTAGATGCGGGCGGGGATGTGGATGACGTTCTCACGGAGAGGGTGGTGGATGTGGGGGAGGAGGTGATTGGTGGAGATGTGAAAGCGAAGGGAGGGGGAAGGGTGGTGGCAAACGAGGTGGGGGGAGGGGACGTGGTGGTGACGACCTGGATGGCGGGGGTGTGATTTTCAATGGTGGTCACGCGAGCAGAGATGGTGGAAACGGATGTTTTGATGTCGTCGATGGATGACTGGAGGGATGTCTTCAGGCGGATGAGTGTCGCGAGATCGGTGGCGGCATCGGGTATCCGTGACATGGCAGCAGTGACGAGGATGAGGTGCTGACGTGGCGGCGGCGACGATGACGATAACAGCGGCAATGGCAATGACGTGGCGGCGCCGACGATGGTGATGACGATGTCGATGTCGTGGCGGAGGAAGAGGGTCGCAAGACCGCTCCGATACCAGTGTGACGAGGCGGAAGTAGAGCAGCGAGGTCCGGGAAGAGAGAGGGAGGGAGTGAGAGCACACACACACAGTCACTCAACTCAACACGGGCTCGACACGACTCGACAGACGCAGACAAAAGGTGGCAAAGTCGCAAAGTCGCAAAGTCGCAATCTTGGTTCCGTACACAATGTCGCAGCAAGTCACACTGAAGCACAACCACTGAGGCCGAAAACTGAATGCTCGAACTCAGCTTGAGTCCGGTCTTAAGTACCGGACTCAAGTTGAGTCCGGAGGGCAGAAGTGCAATTTGCCTCGGGCCTAAACTGAAAATCGAAGATCTGAGCCTGGGAGCCAGAATGTCGGATGGCGCCAAGTATTGAAATCCAGAAGTGCCAGAGGCGGGATTTGAGAACGGGCGCCAACTGCAGAGGGCGCCAACAGTCAGGAACCGGAGACCAGAGACTCAAAAAGAATAAAATAGCAGCCTGGCGGGTGGTAACCCGCGGACCAGGGATCGAGCCCTGGTTGAGTCCGTAACAGGTGAGGTGGGGCTTGTGCTGAGAACTGCAGCTGGTGACAAAGCACCTGGATACAAGACCCATCTCCTCTCTCCTTCTACTATTCAAAAACCATAATCCTCAAGAAGGGCAAGCTGCTGTTCCCAACATTGCAACCCCCCAATAAGCTGCCCAAGTGTGTGACCTGGAGTGGAGCGGAGAAGCAGACGCTTAAGCCATCAGTGTCCTGCTGCATCCAAAATCTGACTTCTGGGGATCGCACTCCCTGTGGGAGAGTACTTGCAGGGGGTTAGCTTGCAGGCCACGGGGAATTGGTGGTGGTGCGTGCAAAATCTGATGACGGCGTCATGGCACCGACTTATGGCAATTTTTCACACTCAGAACTATAGGCAAAATAAAAATTTTGAAAAGAAAAAATCAGGGGCCTAGGTGTGGTGGGGGGATCTTCTTTGAAAAAATACAAGTGGACGCGCCGCAGCCACGCTGCGGCAGAGGAGAGGGATGAACAGGGGGGCGGGGCTGTTGATGTTACACTGCTCGTTTTTTTTTTTTTTTTTTTTTTTT